CAGAACTCAGCGACGAAATGGAACTGTGATAAGCGGAAATTCGGAATGTACAAGGATATCGTGTTAAATAAAACAAAAAAAACCATAAGGTCAATTTCCCTTTCCCGAAACATTTGTTTACGTTTTTTATGATTGAATACTGATTTATATATAAAAGGTGTAACATGTATTGTGATGTATTTGGCATGACTACGAATCACTGAAAACGAGCTTGTTCGCCACTCCTTGTTCTATTTGAAAATGTGCTCTGTGGGACTGTTTAGACGAAACAAAAATGTTCATAGTTCATGAGTGACAACCACAAATAGTTACCCCGCACCCCCAGGGGGGAACACGGCGGTTTCAATTTTGATGAGGGTCTCACAAGAATCAACAGATAGAAGTAAACATAGCTGCGACCAGGAAAATGCCCCGAATATTGCGGGAAAACTGCAGTGATCATTGAGGTATGCATCTAGGACCACTCCGGAATCCTCAAACGAATCGAGATGTTTTCCGATTACGAGTATAGGCGTGTTTTCACCTGCGTAGACCTCGGGACTAATTCCTTATTTATGCATCCTTCTAAGTTGGATTGTTCTCAGTAAGTTTGGTTGATAGTTCTAGTAGTTTCCATCAACATTCTTCGTAATTACTCTGTTTCGTAACTCCACTTTATTACTCCCACTATGAAAGGTCGACTGGGTGCCGCAACAGTTCAGTCAGTGCTGCTATACGGCGCAGAAACTTGGCCAATAGAGCAACAGGATATAGATATAATGTAGGCGTTCAAATACCACATCACTACATCGCATTGCACGATTCTGGTAGAGCAACCGGACGAGCACTGTTGAGGTTAGGCGCAGATTGTGTTGATTGGGGCATGTGCTGTGTATGTCACAAAATGGATTAACCCGCCCCCATGCTTTTTGCTTAGACAGGCACTGGATAATAAAATATAAAGGGTGGTCAAACTAAGACCGGTATGAAAACCCTAACCAGGATACTCGGTCATATAGGCCGCGTTAGGCTTCCTTGGTGGGAACCACGAGATCAGTTATTAGACAGGAGCCAAAACCGGCGCACAAAATGTATGGTTAATGGCTGTAAAAACCGAACCGAACTGATCATGTTTACCGTTGCTACTAGTATTCTCTTTAGGTCCATGTTGTTGTCAGGCCAAATGGCGAGATCATCCCGAGTCGAATTCCCCAAAACAGGTGCCCACTCGCCTGTGAGTACAGAAGGCGAAAGTGTCGTTCGGGTATGGTTGAGGAAGCCTTAGCCAAAACCCGAAATGCTTTAGCCAAGACCTATAGTCCTGTAGCTTCCACGCATAAAGCTTGATTTAGAAATGAGGTGTGGCGATTGCACGCTGCACCAAATGTTGACTGGAGAAGGTTTAACCGATGTGACCGTATCAACAAACCACTTGGAACGTCACGTACAGCTTCAGAGTGTTCGTATAATATGCGATACTTCTGTGAGTAAAAATCTCAAGTGTAACACAACGTTCACATTGTTTTGCATTCACAAGCTCTGAAATTAATCAAAAGGTATGTCCACTTAAAGTGAACTCTGTTCTTGAGATGTGGAAACATTAACAGGTCGAGGATAATAAACACTGTTCACGAAAGAATCCGTTTAGCAGACCGTTTCTCAACAAGCCATAGATAAAACCTGTAGTAATTAAGCCTCGCCCGTGGCAATTATGACATACGTTGCAGCGTTAATAAATTGATAATAGTTATGGAGGTGTACTTTTGTGAACGGTGTTTTATTATCTCTCATGACTAGTGTTCACTTGTGAATGCAAAATAATGCACCGATTATTTTTAGAGTATCAAGTTTGGTTTAGCCCATTCGATTTTTCAGAGGCACCAGGTATTCTTGATAGTCTTTGGTGTGGGTTTCGTTCCTTAGGACAGCGTTAATTCCCCACTATTTGAATGCTTTTAAATGCGATAGAAATGTTTGTGATTACCGACAAAGATCACTGGACAACTGTTTTGGGGAATTATCGATCGCCCAAGGAATGAAACCCACACCCATAATCCTCAGAAGTCCCTGGTGCCTCTGAACAATAGAATGGGCCAATCCAAGCTTGATACTCTATGAATAGATCAACAATGTTGTCTTTAATGGCGCTCAGGTGTTTGTGAGAAGGAAAAGTCATCCCTAGTCATGGGACTTGATGAACCCCAGGGCCATCACGGCTGAATCACTTCTGGGAACAAAGCGATGGACTGGACAGACGGACGGCCTCTGCTTCGGCTTTTACTAAATACCGCAGGCGAACTATCTTCGATGGATTAGGAGGTACCCGACAGATGACACTTTAAGGCTACTTCATTGGTTTAGGACCCCTTTCTACAAGATGTTCCACGATGGAACTGGAGAGGGTGTTCTTCGCATCAGCAGCCAAACATGTTGACTTGGGCTTCTTTATCCTCCTAGCTGTTTGTCTTGCGGAAAATGAGAAAACAAAGGAGCATGTAATCACAGAGGTGGTAGATGTAGGCAATTCATGTTTAAGATTCGTGAAACTAGCCAGTTGACTTGTGAGGCAAAGGCGTAAACGCGCTGTTGAAAGCGTGCCTGTAATTACCCTTTCCCAGACATTGAATGAATAATGCACTCTTGTAGCATCCGTGAAAAGGAAGGAAGCTGCATATTTTAATCCTTTTCATTCACAATTATCATCCTCAATCTATTGGGTATTTCCGATAGTTTTTCTCTGAATGAAAAAATTCTGGTAACCATTAGAAATGAGCACTTGATCAACACCTCCCAGTTCCTGGACTAAACTCTAATTCATGCGAATGTTTTCGGCTCGGGCTTCGAGGGAACGGACAAGGTTTCGTTTAAGTTTCTTTGACACCGAAATCGCAAATTGGGCATTTTGCTCTGTCCATGCTGGTTTAGCATATTCGCTTTTGTTTTCAGATAACCCTTGCAGCGTCAGTGTGAGTTTCACATCGAGAAAATGGAATGCGTATACCCGAAATCGTCTTCTGTTACATCTGATTAAATCCATTCACTATCATTTCCAATCAATTTTTGTTTCACGTATCCGGACGATTATCTTATCGCTATCACAACAATAAATAGGTAGACTATCTATGTTTGTTCGCAGCTCAGATTTCTCTAGTTTTACCAGGAGTTTATCAACAAATAAGAGTCCAAGCGGAGAACCCATGGCTACTCCACGAGTCTGACGATAGATCTGATTGTTTAACGTTGGATACACGTAGAACGTGCAGCGGAGTAATAATTTCT